GATTCGTCCAAAAAAGTCTGACTAAGGCAGTACACATTGTAGTTGATATACCTTTCAAGGGGGAGGGGTTACATAGAGGTGGAGACACTCTGAAACAAAGCATGTTAATTCAGCTTGTTACCTGATGAACTCAGAGCCTGATTAGATCAACAAAAAGCCCAGCTGACCTTTGCGATTTGACAAGAGGTGAAAGGAGTAGTTCACTTTTAAAAAAACTTTTACTGATAATTTACTCACCCCCATGTCATCCAAGATGTCCATTTCATTCTTTCTTCAGTCGAAAAGAAATTAAGGTTTTTGATGAAAACATTCCAGGATTTTTCTCCATATAATGGACTTCAATAAAAAACCAAACGGTTCAAGGTCCAAATGAAAATTTCAGTGCAAACTGCAAACTGTTCAAAGGGCTTTAAACGATTCCAGACGATGAAGAGCGAAACGATCGCTATAAAAAAAAAAATATATATCAAAGTTTAAGTTCTTGCTCTGTTCTGTGATGCGTTCGTGACTCTCCTGTTCGAACTCGTTTATCAAAATGAACGAATATTTTTTCATGTCATTTGGTTCATTCGTCAAATGAATTGACTCGGGAAAAGATTCGTTCATTTTGATAAACTTGATAATCTTGGATGACATGGGGGTGAGTAAATTATCAGCAAAAGTTTTTTTTTTTTTTAAAGTGAACTACTCCTTTAATGTCCAACATCTGAAAATGTCTCAAAATGGAAAACAGTGTGCAGAACTTTCTCAGTTAAAATACTATTGTATTGGAACCTAAATTAAACATTTAAGTGCATTTGTAATACTACAATAGATAATAGTGCATTCAAAGAGCGGTGAAGTCTCAGCATAGAAGCATCTGCTGTGGAGGTGCAGCGTGACTTAAATCAGATGAGTAATAAAGAGCATGATTATGGAAGAGTTCAGATGGTCTTATTAATAAATGTCTTACTCATTTATGGACGCTCATATTATACCTTTTAACAAATCATCTTCACAAGAGAAAAAAATGAGGGTAAAAATATCAATATATTGCATCACTTTCCCATGCTGACAGATGCCATATTAAATAACTTGATGACTATTGAAGTGTTATGACCAGGTTAACGCTATCATAGGTCAGTGACATTAGATGAGACACTGATCCTGGATCAGCTGTCAGGTGGCCAATAAAGTAAAAGTGTTCCGTGACAAGCAAAACATCTCATTTGCTCAAAATGAAACATTTTGTTGTTGACAACGACGATCTTACCAGATTCATAACACGAACGATGCTTTTAGAGAAAATAAACAAATGGTTTCACCTTATCTGAAATGAGAATGGATCAAGAGGAATAAAGCTGAGCTATTTATCTCATTACTGGATTACATGAGGGAAATTGTTCTATTTTTTACAGGAATGAGTAATGCTGAAATGGCAGGAAAAACATTTTAATACAACATTTGAATATCAAACTGCTCTCTTAATGCAATACACTTGGTTGTTGAGCAATATTAAAGACTTTAAAAGCTCTCTGGCAAGAGGACAGCTCAGTTCAATTACATAGTTCAGTGGGCCAGAGCGCTCAAAACAAGTTCTTCCTCAGTGACGGGGCTGGATTTAGATACAGCTTAAAATCGTGCTGTTGGATTCTTCTTTTTCAAAACTTCTCTTATCTTCAGCCCTGAAATGACCTCAAATATTTGGAAATTCAACACTTCTATCGCAGTCTGAGCATCCAGCACATCTGCAGTGACGTGACGTGTATGTACTGTATCTGAGTTTGAGTGACCGTAAGCCACACTTTTGGCTGAGGCCTGGTGCAGAGACCCCTGTCCGGTGAGAGATAGAGCCAGTACGAATGTTCTCACATGTCACTCAGAGCTTGACTCCTGATATCTCTAGAGCTACGAGCACCGTGGGCCTGACTGGCCATTCTTTGACTGTCCAGAAAGTATTTCCTAAACTCATTCTGTCGGCCCATTCCAGCACATAGTCAGGGGAGGATTATATTTAGACTGTCTCACACACGTCTCTTTGTGTAATCTCTCTAAGGTTCAAACTCATGGAACAGTTATTTAAAGCTCATTTTGCTGACTCACTCTAGAACAGAAAGAGTACTTTATAAAGGGCAATTCACATTTTAATTAACCCAAAGATTAATTTTAAAACATAATGACTAGTGTTTGAACAAAACATCTACCTGAAGACACACATAAGAAAGATTCTGGTGTAAGTAAAAATAATGACTGTCTTAGGAATAAAACTAGAAAGTGACTTTTTAGCTCACATACTGACTTTATATCTCACTATGTGACTTCACCAAGGTTTTATCTCACTAGAACTTTATAGCTTGCAATTCGACCTCTATACCTTATAGGTTGACTTCATATCTTAAAAGTGTGACTTTATATCGCACAATTGTGACTTTGTATTTGACACCTATAGGTTATTTCACAGTCTTTTGATCTAAAAAAATTGAATTTAGATTTTACATTGTTACTTTATATCTCAAAATGGCTACTTTGTTTCTAGTAATTGCGACTTTGTTACACTCTTACACTAGACTGATCTTTTAATTATGAATTTATGTTTTCGCAATTTGGCCTTTATATCTCACAATTTGACTTTATCTCAAAACTGTAACTTTGTTTTCGTATAATTGCAACTTTATAATCACACAATTGCTTCTATATATCGTATACTTAGACTTTATCTTGCAATGCAACGCATCCTCACCCCAAGGCGTCACCTTTGACCATGCTTCAATATTTGACGTTTTAGGCGCCCTTTAGCGTCACTTACATGACGCGATCCTACGGCGTCATCTAACTGACGCTAAAGGAAAGCGTCAGTTAGAGGACGCGGTTAGGTTTAGGTATGGGGTGGGGGTAGGGTACACGCGATCCTAGGGCGTCATCTAACTGACGCTAAAGGGCGCCTAAAGCGTCAGATATTGAAGCATGGTCAAATGTCAGTTAGGTGACGCCTTGGGGGTGAGAATGGGCTGTGCAATAACAACTTTATATCTCACAATTTGGCCTTTGAATATCTCAAATTAAACTTTAGAGAATTACTTTAATTCTTATTTAAAACATATCGTTACTCTGTGACGGTTCCTTCTGACATACCGCTGAAATACAGTAAATCAGGGTTTTGGTGAGAAAGTATATAGTTTTTTAAAAACACTTTTTTAAAAATGTTTAAGGTCTTAAACCTTTGTGCACAGATTACAATAAGTTTAGCCTAGTTTGCTGATGCATCTCTGAACAAGACATTTCAAAAGGCTGTTCTCTTCCAAATAAACTTTGGTTTCATCATCACGACTCTTGAGTGACACATTCACAGCACAATCTGTCAACAGTATGTCCATCACACATGGCGTGCCTGGCTCCAATAACATTTAACTCTTAGTCAGAAGTGTGGTATCTCAATTCGCACTTCAGACCTGACAGCAAAAACAAAGTTTGAAAATTGCTCTTTAACAGAAAAAATAAAAAATAAAATAACATGACCAAAATGTTAATGTCACAACCCAAAGTCTGAACCACACCTAATGACAATTTTAAGATTAAATACACAAATAAAATAAACTACACACATACAAAACATCTTGCAGTTACTTAAACAAATTAAAAAGGAATAAATAAATTAAAATGTTCAAATACATTTTTTTGAATTTTAACCGTTTTATGCACTTTGAATTAGACAATAATGCAAAATAGTAGACTTTTTGGTAACACTTGATTTTGATGGTCCCTTTTGAACATTCTGTTGACTAAGTAACTTTGCAACTACATGTCAACTTATTCTATCCCTAACCCTGCCACCAGTGAGAGTTAGTAGCCATGAAGGCGCAACGTTTACATATTTATATAGTCACATATTATAGTCAACATAATGTGTTAAAGGGACCATCAAAATAAAGTGAAACTGAATTTTTACTAGTGGTCTTTTGAATCCCATTGTATAACGTGGGCATGTTTGTCTGCAGTTTCAATCAGTTTCTAGTGATTTTTTATATGCACTTCCCAGAATCAATGTGCCTGTAGCAGGGCTGTCTGGATGTTTCTTGCTCTCTGTAATAAATCCTATTTGCACCTTTGGCCTGTCAATAAGAATTATAGACCTGTAATCCAGACCCAGGGGCATATTACTGAGAAAGAATCCATAAAGGCTGGCATTTGTGTCAGCATTATTAGGAATGAGCAGTGTGAAATTTACAGTCATATTGAAGCATCGCCTTTAAGAGAAGATAGTAACTATGGCAATGCTATGATTGACACTGAGGACAGTCGTGGGATCTGTGCTTCTAACTGAAACCCAATGAAATGACAAAGATTTAGTGGGGAACAGCGTGTACTATCCTGGCACCAAATTATGATGTAATCAAGTGTTTTATATGCAGAAAGAGAGTGTATCTTATTGTGAGTGCTGCAGTATACTGTTATTAAATGCTGAATAACAGCATGGTAAAAATAAAATGACAGTTCCTGCTGCTTCCGAGCACTATTACTCTCAATTCTTGTTTACTGTTCTCTACAAAATGTCACCGACTTTCCCATTTATCTTACATTTAGAAGCTTAGTCAGCCGCTTGTGGGTTTATGGATATCTTGCTCATCAACATTTGTGTAAAACGTGTGCTTTAAGTGCATCTATCATTGTTCATACATCCTCTGCTGCACTGTAAACCCTAATGTTGTCTTTACTTAAACAATCAAGTGTACTTGACTAAACATTACTTGAAATTGTGCATTTTGGCCAGGTCACTCAAAAATATAAGTTCAAATAACTAATTTACCTTCAAAATACAAAAACTTAAGATTCCAAGTGCAGTGAACTCAAAATAATGATTAAAACTTACAAAAGGTCATTTTCACAAATTTCTTAACTGTGAAATGAAGGATACATTCATACATGCTTTCTTCAAGTGCAAGGTGTCATTCTTATTTTACCAGAAAACAAATGGCTTTCATTTTACAATTATTGATCATAATGTAAATAAACGTTTATTTAAAAAAAAATCCTGATACTTTAAACTTCATAAATAAACTTTAATATCTGTATTCAAGTGTTTTTGTAATACTGTGGGTTGCAGTTTTCACTCAGTAGCCTTTTTTATGCAGTAAACAACATGTACAGAACAATAAAACAAACAAAATACAAGCTCATACATTTCACGTGCACATATATGCCACGTGACAAAATGCATGAAAGAGTTCCTCACATCAGCCACCAACCATGTATCAATGAAAAAATAATATACAAACTTACAGAAATACAGCGACGACACATTATGTTTAACGTTAAATCAAATTCATTTCAAATCGGTTTAATTAAAATGTCTCTCTCTGATCTTCCTCTGATGCGATTGGCCACGCAAGGAGTTCTGCCTGGCAACAAGAAAACTAATGCACTAATTGGTGGATTTCAAAATTGGTGATTTTCGCATCGTCTGTTGCTGCTGCTGACACAAGTTCAAATCTCAAGACGGGAGGTTTTCTTTGTGTAACATTCTCGGTAAGTAGAATTATTAATATATAAAGTTATTTTGTATGACTTTTTAACTCTGAATTATGTTTATTTAAATCCTTGCACGGTTAAAAGAGAACGCAGCCAACGTTAATTACAATATTTCCTGGTCAAACTTTTCCAACATAACGTTTTATCGATGGTTTTGTGATGACATGATAACTGCGATATCAAACGATTCTTTAATTTATTAGTTCAATTGTGTAATCATGTATTTCTCTGCAAAAGATCATAGTTAACTAACGTTAACTTAGCCTAACGTTACTTTAGACCAGTCAACTTAGTGATGTTTTTTTTTCTTTTTTCTGGTCAAACTTTGACAACCTCGACATCAATTAACGGTATTTTCTTCATGACTTTGTGATAGTATGATTATTGAAATGTCAACAGCTTATTTCTTATTTTACTAGCGAGATAAGTTTGCTAAGTTACACATTTGATGATCTTTTTCCGTGCAAGAAAGAACATGGCAGCTACTGCACAGACCATGTGGGTTATTTTTCCCATAGATTTTTTCCGGGCAAACTTTGTCAGTTACCCGTAACTTTAACGTTAATTGCAAATATTTTCATCATGATACATTTCTGATTGACTGAGATAAGTTTTAAGAACATTGTTACTATAGCTAGGACGAATTAGTGATGTTTCGTCACGCTTGTCACCAACGATTTAATCATATGGAAAATACTATTGTCAATGCAAACTAGCAACTTTTGGCTACAAACAAAACCATGCACAAAACTGTTTGAGCATGAGTACTTGATAATTTTCATTTTTGAGTGGACTAAGTTATTCCTTTAATGTGTTAAAAATATTTCTTAGCCTCTAAGTTACATTTGTTTCCTAATTAAGCAATAAAGCATTTCTATGTGCACACTAATGTGATTATGTGATCTGTCTTTATCTCCCCTCAGATCAAGTTCAACAGAAAAAAACCTAAAACAGGATTTCTACTTCTACAGAACATACAGTTCATGGACCTTTTTACAGCCAAAAGGGGGACTCCTGGTCAGTACTTGGCTAACGTTTGAAATCAAATAAAGGTTAGTAATGGTTAATAATAAATAAAGGTTTTGTCTTATTTAAAATAACTAACAGGATAACTTTTACTCACCCTCAAGGTGTTCTAAACCTGTATACATGTATTTGTTAAAGCTGAACACAAAGGAAGATATTTTGAAGAATGTTTGTAATTGAACAGATTTGGGTACAATTAATGTTCGTAGTATTTTTTTTTTTTTTTTAAGCATGTAAAAGTCAATGTTGGCCCAAAACTGCTTGGTTACAAACATTCTTCAAAATGTATTCTTCCTTTGTATTTAGCTGAGCAAAGAAATGTACAGGTTTGGATTGGAATAACTTGAGGGTGACTAAATGATGACAGAAATTTCATTTTGGGGGAACGATCCCTTTAAAAGCATTTAATTTTGTCAGCATTTAATCGTATAAAAATTCTTCAAATATATTGATTAGTTGTTGGCATTAATGGAATTTTGTGTTTTCCTTTAAAATCATCCCAGCCAACGGAGGTCCGAACCCTTGGGATTCGAGGACAACCTATCATGCTTGGAGATGATGGTGACTCTGGGATTAAGGTTAGTGTTATGTGTTCTTAATAGATCTAGTGCACGTTCTGAGAAACATGAATTCATAAACATTTGATTCCTGATCGTAATATTCTATTTATGTCTGTTTTTTCACTAGGTGTCTGATCATCGCAACTCCATCCTTAATGTGCCAGTGGGCATCTTATTTGAGGACACTAAACTTCAGCCCCCCAATTCCTTGTATTTAACTTCTACGATTGGAATAATACTTGAAGGACAAGTGGTGATTGAAAAAACGCAGGACCTCCCACAGGCTATGTGTCTCCTCTTCGGTCTGATCTACGCTGTCTGATCTACGTGTGCTAATGTCAATGGGACAGTATTCTCTCAAGCCTAAATTGCAGTCTCTGGCAAACCAGCTTTTTGTTTAAAAAACGTCACTGTGAGACTTTAACACCACTCTGAGAAATGTTCTACAAATGATTTGCAGAAGATACAGTACTGTAATATTGTGCAAATATTTGGTCAAAGACACTGACTATGGTCACTATGCTTTACTTAGTTTGCTGTGATTTCATAAAGCTTAAACAAGTAAAATGTAAAAACAATGTACATTACGTGTACATGTTCAGTACATTTACAAAAATTTGAGACTTAAATGTAATGTGTAAGTGATCAGAGTTGTACAATTGATAGTGCACTACTTAATGTTGGATACTGTTGCCACATTTAGAGTTATGTACAGGGTGTGACTCATTTCCATTTGAAATTTTGGTCAATAAAGACTCAAAGGATCAATATGTTGTTCATTGTTTTATGTAAGTGCAGTGTGCACACAGCTTACAGTCAAAAATATGAGCTTTAAAATTTTGAAATAAAATTACAGTTAAATTTTCATGTTGAGTTTACTTAAATATACAAGTACAATTGATATTAACACTAAGTTAAGTGAACTTTATTGTTTAAGTACATTAAATAATCGTCAAGTTTGGTGAACTAAACAATTTAAGTAAAGTCTACATAACTACCAAGTTAAGTAAACTTAACTATGCAAGTTTTGGGAGTTCTCATTACTCAATTAAATTGAGGGAACGAGTTTACTCAAATCAATTGAGTTAAATCAACTTATTAGGGTTTTCAGTGTGGTAATTGCATTGACAAAAAGAGAAGGTATGGGAATTAAAGAAAAATCTCCCCCAAAAACATAAAACAGCAAGATAAAAGAGAAAAGTAGTGTTGAGATCACAACACCAGATGAACTAACGAGTGAAAGTTCATCGAACTATTCTTAGCTGTTTATTATCATCTGCCGCTCTTCTGAAGGATCCCAATGTTGCAATCCTGTCACAAGGTAATGCAACATTTGACAAGGTTGTTACTGAAAAATGGGGTTGTTAAAAATATAATAGACACAACAGCAATCTTGCAAACTTGTGTGTGCGTAGCTCTGCTATTGGTTTCACATGCAACAGGAACATTTACATATGAAAAAGTGTCCAATTTAATACTAAAAGGGTAGAAATTGGTCCAAAAATGACCCATTTTGACAAAACCTTTACCATCAGTGCCAAAGGAGCTCCTAAAAATAAATACAAATAAATAAAAAGACAAAAAAGAACACAAAATACGTAGGAAAATAAATCATTGATGAATTATTGTATATCATTTATTGAATATTTAAGAATTGATATATTAAATAATAGTAATCATATTAATAACACAATATAAAGACTAAAGATAATATAATTCTCTGTAACTTTACAGAGGCTGTCATTTTTTTAATATTGATTTCATCTCTTGAACATAATTAAGACACGCATTTCTAAACTTCGTGTATTCAAAACTGACTGTAAAAATATTGTTGGTTTAACTTAAAAAAGTAAGTAACCTGGTTGCCTTAAAATTTTAAGTTGATTGAACTGGAAAAAGTGAGTTAATACAATGGAGATTTATTTAATCATCAGAAACTCAAAATAATAAGTTATCTCAACTAAAATGATTTAAGTTGATTTGACAAAAGAAAAAATGTTGTGATAACAAATCTTGAAAATATTTTTTTTTACAGTGAAAAGAGCAATACACAACAATCTGTAGTTGTCTGCATCAATTGATGATCTGAGGCACCACATTTTCTAATTTGGCTTTGTCTCCAGATCATTCAAAATATGTCCCGAAATGAAGGAAAATGGTTGTTTATCAGGTACAATGTTTGTCAAGCAATGGATCAAGCCCGCATGGCTTAAACCTGCAATGAGCCCTGCCACTGAGCTTTATCCGATTATAGTCCGCAGAGCTTCTTCTCTCTGTATGTTTGCTGAATGATGCTCCCCTGGTGCTACCTCTGATTACTCTCATTATATATGACAGCAGGACAATTTAAGGCCATGTTAATACTGCTGTCCTACATATTGTTGCAATAATGTTTTACATTATAAGAACAATGGAATATAATATGTTAACTATTCACCGGGGCATATCTGGTGTATTTTATAATTCAATTGCTCTGACCTCTTTTTTGGATAGTTTATCATAAAGTAATTAATCTAATTGCTTCATAGATCCATGGCAATTATTCCAGGGCAGTTGATTTCCCTCCCTCATTTTTTAATTAGCTCATTGTAGGTTTTTATGAATAAAAAATGCTAGCGCAATACTCTGCTCACAGGGGACTCGTTTTGCTTTTTGGCCCAGATTCTTTGCTTTAAGCTAATCTCATTGATGTACAGTATTTTACCTATCCTCTCACTATCACCATACACACACACACACACTCCTTAGACCTCTCTTGCCATCTATCTGTGGCTCAGCAGTTTCTTCCTTCTAAATAAAAACCAATTAGTCTTGGCACCTACATTAAATATAGGCTAGAGGAGGCACCTATACATCTTCAGAGGCTAACACCTCGGTTGAAATGCTGGAAGACAACAAGAAGAGATGTCTGTAGATAGGGGATGCAGTTGAGGAAAATATTTTCTTTAAAAAAAAAAAAAAGTTCAATAAACAGGTTAATATTAAATAACTTACATTTTACACAAAACATTACCAGTTATTTGTGTATTTTTGTTTCATAAACAGTCCTAAACGAAGCCAAAGAAGAATCAACTATTGTGCGCTTCCTGCAATCATCGTGCTTAAATCAATCAGTAAAGTAAATGATTCAATGATTATCAATGAGTTTTATAATGCCCTTCTCTCGCTGACTTCCCTCCTCATTGAATCAGATGTTGCCGTATGTTACATGTAATTGGAACCAGTTGGAATCCACTATGAAAATTATTTATTTATTTTCCTTATGAATTTGATTGATGCATATACTGTATTATTGGATTGTTAAAATATCAAAATACAATAAACTATTACCTTTGGTCTGATACAGTTTAAGGGGCTGTTTTATACACACAGATACCCTGGAAGATCAGGACGCACACAAAGTACTCAAAATAACTCTACTTTTGAGAGCATTACATCCAGAGGGCAACTTACCAGCCCATCCTCAACTGACCCTGTCTTCAACCATTACAGCAATGCTTTAGAAACCAACGAGTGCCATTTTCGAGTAGGATTTTTACCTCAATACTCAAGCATCCAATATGTAAGTACACCACTGTAAAAAATGATCGTGATTTTAACGGTAAAAGACTGTAAAAATGCTACAGTGCAAAACTGTTAATTGGTTAATAGAACGCTTCCTTACTATATACAGTAAATAACTGTGATAGATCTAACGGTACATTTAATGTAAAATGTAATTTTATGTAATGTAATATTACTGTAAAATACCGTTGAATTTATCTAGAATAGGCCAGAAATATCAAAAGCTAATTGGTAATATGAATAGGATCCCTTTCTCATCCAACGCACATGGCACCCTTTAGCGTCAATATGAGACGCAGATATATATGGGGCAGAAGGCGCCTCCTAGTGGTGTAACCCTACCTATACCTACCCATACTCTGTGCGTGTTATATTGGCGATAAAGGGTCCCATGTGTGTTGGATGTCTACGCTTTGGCAAAAGTGTCGTATATGACGCCTTGGGATGAGAATGCATTGAAATAAGCCATGTCTGGAAGGACTGACATTTAAAAGTAAAGTAAGGCTCATTGTTAGTGTGCTTTTTTATCACATAATTCCATTACACCTTTCAGATCTTAAATTTAACTTTTTAAACATCCTGCCTGCCATTTGCATGCCAGATCATAATTAACTTAAAACAGTATTTTGTTGAAAAATTAATTCAGCATTCAGATTTCAACATGGCCACAGATGTCTGATTTTTTCAGGCTAATCATTAGGAAAAGTCGGTTCACATACTGTAATGTTGAACATAAATTACACACTTGGGCTATAGATGACATCTGTATATGCGATGTAACAGCACCAAAAAACCACAGTGACCTTGAATTATACTATTTTGTGTTCACTGTAGTAAAATCTAGCATGCTGGTAATAACTAGAGGACAGTTGCCACTGACACACTAATGACCTGACATATTGATCATTAGGGCTGATTCTGTGCTTTCACCAAAAGTACTCACAGTTACTATGGTTATAGTCCAAACACAGTCCAACTAAACTGAGAGAGCGGATGCTTTTGAGTAGGGCTAATGAATTACTGGTAGGGGGTGTTGGTCACGAGCAGACTGTAGCTGACATGAGTCCATATGACCTACTTTACCCCCCCCCCCCCCAAATCCAAAGTGCCACAGCCAGGCATGTATGCCAGACTTCCCATGGGCACAGGGGTGGAGCAGTGCCAGCCAACAGCTATGCAATTGTTTGCTTAACCCTGACCAGAATGAACAGGGATTCATTTGACTAGTTCATATAAATGTGCATTTAAAGGTGCCCGTCATTGTACAGATGTCATGTCGAACTTAAAACAGCTGACCACTAATCAACTTCAAACAGCCCATACAGTAGATTACAGAAACCAAGAAGAGGTCATTTGTAAATGAAAGAGCTTATTGTGGATGCAGTTTTTGGAAACATGACATTCAAGGCACTGTAAACAAAATGGGTAAACACTGATACAATTACAAATGTGCTAAGGGTGAGTGTGCACGCACATCCTCAGCACTTATGGAAGTGTCCAAACATCTGAGAGAGAGAAAGAGAGAGTTTGAATTTACTTTACAAAATGATGATACATTACAATAAAAATAAAATAACTTCATGAGATGATCTACTTGCCAGGTTAAAACCAGACCGTAACTGAGTTAGGGTCCGGCAAAGCTTCATGGACAAGTCATTTCCACAGGGGCGTCACCAATGGACGTGTTGGTACAACAGGTGAAGGCTTGTATGCCAGTGGCGGCCCATGGGGAGACTTCAGTTTCCGGCTGGTGGATTACCCCCTTGGAATAAATGAGCAGACACTGATTAGATACTTGCTCTACGTTTATTTAAAATTAACATCAAGACAACTAGAAGTGAATGTGCTTTCCATTAAATAAATCACACACAATAAACAAAACCTTAAACTAAAAAACTTTGTAATTTAAATGCGCAAACTGGTTGCCGGTACAGTGAGACATCCATGCTCGGGCAGATTCGGCTTGAATTCGTTCATTCTCGGACATGGCGTCGCACGCCCTGTTACAAAAAAGCCGTGCACACAGCCAAGCGAAATGGGGTCTTGTGCACCGAACGTGTCATTTTTGCGGCGCGCAACTTCACGAGTATAAACAAGGCTTTACTCTGTGTCATTACTCTGATCGGTAATGGGGCAGAGATTTCAGACCTCCATTTATTGAGGAGATCTCCAGGATTTCTCTTCTTCGGAGGGGGTGCATAGACCTCTCCCGAATCATCTCCAGCAGTAACAGCCTCCGAAGCACCACTAACTCCGCCTCCGTTTCTCTCGTAAGCTGATATTACTATTCAAACATAATCT